CGTAAACATTGTTTTCTTCCTTGCAGTCTGATGAATATATACATTACTTGTGGACAGCTCTCACAGTCTTTCTCCTCGTCTTCCACGCTCGATCAAGTGCGAAAACCAGGTGAACGAAATACCAAAAAACTCTTTATCTGAGCGTGACCGAGCCCAAAAACCGGCGCTCTACCTACTCTTTGCTCTTATACTACTTGGGTTCAATGTCTACCAGTCAAAATAATAAACTATATAATACACACCAACCATAATAACTACTCCGTGCGATCTATCTCATAACATACAGGTAATCATGAAAGTCACATTGGTAATTCAGACTTCATATTTGCCTCAACAGTTTCCACAAACATAAGTAGATTCACTTCTCAAACTCTGTTCATGGCCAATCTTCTCAGACCTCACACCTCATTAAAGTTGGATATATACCTCTGTGCATAGCTTGTACTCGTCACACAGATGAATAAATTAAAACCTTATAGACATTAAGATTTCAACACTCACATATCAATTCATTTCAATAAGTCTCAATATTGTGGAATCGGCTGAGCTATTAAGACACTCACTATACTGCGAGCTCGTAGATGTCTTCCCTACAGTGGCTCACACTTTTGACACGAAGGTTGTGTTTCACTTTTATTTTCTTTTCTCGCTTCGATTACAAAACTACTCTCCGCCTCTAGCTCCTGCACTTTGCGATCCCATAACAACACAACATCAATCACTGGATAATCTTTTTCATTGTAAGTAGAAATACTGTATTCCCAAAGAATGATTTCCACATTGGCGTAAGAGATAACTGAGTGGAGCAAGAAAATGGCACAATAATGTCTAAAAACCTCTTGTCCTCAGTGACTTCTTCCTTTAAACATCTTCCTTTAGGTGCCTTTCAGGCTAGCTTCACAAGCCTTCTTAGTAGATCATTTCGAGCAAGGCCATCTCTGCTTCATTACTGCATCAATTAAAAGGGCACATATATGATATAATATATATAATATTATTTAAGGAATCTGATGATAGACTATAAATAAACATCCTTTTTTTGAGACGAAGCATCTGTTTATATCACCTTAATAGTTTGACCTCTTCGGTTCTCTTTGAAAGCTTTGTTTGTGAGTTCCTCCACTCTGACTTCAGTTACATCATCTTACCCTTCATGGACTCAATGGATTTTAATTTGATGTCCTTGGAACACAACCACATAGAGATAAGATTACAACGAATGTGGAGTTTAGATTAAAATGAACAACTTAAAAAGCAAAGAAACTCTTCCTCAACTTTAAAACACATTTTTACCAGTTCATTCCAAGGATTTTGATCTGCCCCATCTTTCTTTGCACTCTGGTCCTCAGGTCTCTCCTCATGTTGAGCGCAAACATTTTCTCTTTTGGCTTGACAGAGCATCAAATAAAAAATATATACATATTTCAGACAGTTAGACATACGTAAAGTGTGTTTCTTCCTTTCAAGTTCGTTGTTTTTGTGCATGATTATTGCATTAGTTTATCCTCCAGTTCTTTGGCCCTGGAAAATTAGTGCAAAGAATGAATAAAAATTTAATGATAGGAGGAAAAATTGCACTTGGTCTGGAAAATACTGTGAATTTTCAGGAGTTAATAATACCTCTGTATCTCTAGGCTAATGAATCCTGTAGCTCTTTAATGGTTGTCGGAATCTGCTCCAGCTTCTCTGCTTGTTGATTTACCTCTGCCTGAGCTCCTGCAAGCTTAAGTCTTTGGCTTTGCGGATGATCTGTGCATATTCTTCTTTACTTTGTTCCAGGGCTGCAGCAATAGCTTCAACGATTTTTCTTTAAGGGAGCAAATAATGTTCTCAGTCAAAGCAGATAGAACACACAGAGCCCTGAGACTGACAAGAATCTTATACAAGACACTCACCTGAGTTTCTTCATAGCTCTGCTCAGCAGTGTGCAGTTGTTGAAGAAGGGATTCCTGTTCAGCTTTGAGCTTTTGAGAAGTTCACTTTGTTGATCTGTAAAGATAGTAAATATATTGATGTAATCTTTGGTATCCTCAAAAATCGACGAATAAAACCATTTCAGTACTGTCAAGTTTCAAGTTCATTGAACTTGACTTGAACTGAACATTGGATAAAAAAAATGAATAATTACAAGGCTTATATATATTTTTCTGTCAAATGCAGTTACACCCAGAGGCCTAAGACTGCACAAAAAAGAATTAAGAAATGTTATATGACAGATAGTTCAGAATTTAGAAAGCTAATGTTATCTTACTTGTTGTCTCTTGGAGTTGTTTGCAATGCTTTTTGGGTTTCATGGAGGTCAAGCAGGACTTTCTTCTAGTCCACTTTCCGTATTCTTAAGCTTTATCTGAAGCCCAGCCACCTGTGAATACAGCATCAGTCCTTATGTTTTGTTTCAAAACCCTGTGGTTACATGTTACAAGTTCCCACATAAACTGGTCTCTCTTTTCTGACTAACCTCTTCCTCTTTCATGGCATATTCTTGACAATATTTCTCTTTTAGCTCTTCAAATTGCAGCAAGCCTTCTTTCACTGGAAAAAGATAAAAATGATAAATTTTCTTGCTGGTGGACATGTTATCTTGCTTGTCGATCTATCATTAATTCATCCTATATCATTAGGATGAATCCTTCTGAAGGATTACTGTATTGAATAGCCTAATAAACATAAGGAGAAAAAAATACCTTTCTGCATCTCTTGTTGATCAGCTTCTGGCTAGAATACGAAGGCTTTCGAATGCTGCAATCCAGTTTCCTACAGAAAAAAGTTAAATTGCATCAAACCTCATGTCCTACCCTTTTACTCGCTCCTGTCCAAAAAAAATAATTTATAAAATTTGTTGATTAAATTTAGAAGTGGTTTTTACCTGAATGCTCTCACTAATTTTCCATAACCAGGTGATGTGTTTCCTCTCTTTCAGATTCAACTACAAAATGTAGAATTTAATTATAAAATATGTAGCAATGTGTCAATATTCTCAGCACCTTAACAAATATGGCTGACAAATATATATGGGCAGAAGAATTTAAAGCACTTTTTACTTACACAGCCTGCATATTCTTAGCTGACCGCTGACAAGTGTCTTTCAGATATTACACAAGTTCCTGGTTGCATTGTTTCTGCATTTTAAAATATTTGGAATTTTGTATAAACAAAATATTTGAAGTAAACAAACATTTATATTTAAAAATCAGATTGTTCACATTCATCTGGCTTTTACAGAAGCATGCTCATTGTGTCTCAGAGCATTTTTAAAAAAAAAAACCCTTTACCTTTTCCTCAAATCCTCATTTTCACTTATTTGTTCCTCCAGCTTTATGCTGAGATTTTTCATTTCCAAACTGAAAAAACAGAACACACATTGACAGATAACAAATAATATCAAAAGAGTGTTAGAGTATGTGTCCTTGATTATCGATAATCTTTGTATGTGGTTAGAGAGGGACAGAAAAAGGACAAAGAATAAACTTGTCACCGAGTTGACACACCTGTAACTCTGAATGGCTTTGCGCTGAGTTTCTATTGTCCTTTTGTTTTCTTGGAGTCTTCTCTCCTTTTGCAGCAGTGTCAGAGTCAACTTTGAACCTTCCAACACTTCATGTTTCTCAACTTCCTCAAAAGAGCTGGAACAAAAGCTGTCCAGATTGCAATGTATTCTAGGAATAGTCACAATTTGATGGAAGTAAAACTGAGGTACTTTAGAATAAACACATTGCAAAGGCAAGTATATTCTATTCATGCTTCACATTGTGTACAATGAAAATATTACCTCGTCTTTTTCCATTGGTGGCACAACTTTCATATTGGGAAAGTCTTTGGAGGAGATGACAATTATGAATTTATAATAACATGTATGGATAACTGCCAGTTCTTTGTGCTTGAAAGTATGTAGCCAGTGTTGCATATAGAAGAAATACCTTGTCTGATTGGTTTAGTTGGTGTGACCAGGCTTGTATTTGGGAAAGGCATGTTTTGTCCTTTGTCAAAACACCTACTGTAACCTAGGGAAAACAGCAATTACACTTAGTCATCACAGGCATTAATGATTACTGCCTGTTAGAACAAACAGCTGCCTCCATTCATTAATGCTTTCAGCTTACAGCATGGGAAAACAATGCCCACAAGTGCCACAAACTGTATGTTTAAAACTTTCACTGCTGATAAAAAGTGGACTAATATTGTGCTGGAACGGACTGTGTCAGTGCTGAGCTAGTATTAAAGTGTTTTGGCTTTAGTTCATTAATATATTACTTTGGTTAAACTATTGGCTAATTTAACTTACCTGCTGAAATGTATTCATGAAGTCACCACAACTCTCACAATTTCCTGAGTCTAACAGCACATACCTGTCCATTATTCAACCTGGGGGGCACCAACAGCTTGAAGTTAAAACCTTGGTTTCTCTCCATCCTGAAAAGACGCAGAGAGTTAGATACAGCTGTTATTATCGCTATGTTAAGTACA